ACTGTTAAATCCACTGCAGCTCAGATGACTCCTTTCCATGAATAACTGTACTAATTGCTTTTTGTTTTAACAGAGATTGAGATAAATATGCTGGATGAGCAGCTGATCAAGTTTCTGGCCTTGCAGAGAATACATCAGCTCTTTCCTTCCAAAGCTCAGTCTCTAGCAAGCAGTGTCAGTGCCCATCAGCAATCTCCTGTGGCAAACCACATTGAAGGTAAGAGCAGCCCTAGAATAGCTGGGTTATGTTGAGCCTTACCCTTCTGGCACTTCTGCCTGTTCCTTGAAGGAGATCTTCACTCTTCCTTTGGTATCTGCTTGATGCTGCCTTTCTCTCTTTGCATTTCCTTCTCTGGATATCTGCTGACCAGGGACGCTTCCAGGTCCCTCTGCTAACTTGTCATGCAGTGAGAACACCTTCAGTAACGTGTCAGTGAGCCTTCTGATTTTCTGAAGGTCTTTGGTGATGTCACGTTTTACTCATCTGAGCACGAGATGGGAAGGTTGCGTTGTTCTCCTCTCCCCATCTTTGAGATGGACAAGAGAAACATTTCAGATAAATATGCTGATAATCTCCACAGGCCTGAATTCAGCTCTGGTCGTGGGTTTTGGCATTACTAAAACACCACCAGCTGCATGGGGAACGTGGCTTCCTGTTCCTCTGCATGCAGTCATTCAGTGTGATCTGCTTTCGAGCACTAAGTGCACAGCCTTGTTGTGGGAGCAGTTGTCTGCTCCCCCCTGCTAGGCCTGGGGCTGGATATCCAAGATAAGGTCTTTGGAAGTCTGCTGGCATGGCTGACCTTCTTCTGAAGCTCTGTGCTTGCCTGCTTACTTGCTGCTGTAGCATCACAGCATTCTCTGAATGCTTTGTTGATCATCTTCTGAGCACTGCTGTTGGATACGGCGCCGGGCCGCGATCGGAGCTGCTTTGCTGTGCTGCTCCAAGCAACCAACTCCTGGAAATTCTTCAGCACTCTGCTTCCCAAAAGGCAGATTGATGCTGTCTTAACCCACAGCCCTTTCTGGACAGGGTAGATGCATCCAGCTGACTATTTAGCATTACTGACAGTAGATTTCAAACCTTTTGTGAGCCCTGTTGAGTCAGCAGAGCCAGACAACTGAAAGGACTCATGCAGAGGTGGCAAGCTGCACAATTCAACTGTGCCAAGTGCTGCACGTCCAGGGATGCCACTCAGTGTGGCCACTGTTCCTGACATAGGTGACTCTGCAAGCAGTCTCATAATCCTTGTGTTCTGCTCTTTGATTTCACACTCTTGGCATAAAACTGGCCTGCAGATGTGGTGTCAGAAGAGGCTCTGTGTGTATGAGGGGCTTATCTCCAAGAGGCAGCTGCTGAAATCCCGACAGCCTTGTGTGGCCTGCGGTTTGATATCTGTTCCACAGAAAATGATTTTCTGCCCAGTTCACGCGGGTGTGTGCAAATGATTTGAACCTGGCTGCCAGGAAACTGCTGCAGGGACCGACCTGAGGGTAAAGCAGTGTGCTCAGGACATCAGCCCCTGCTGGGAGTGGGGTTAATCCCTGGTCGAGGCTGCTCAACCTGTGCCTTTCCCGCAGCTTCTCTACAAGTGGAGCTGTGATGTTGGTGACGTTCACCAGCAGCAATTTTTGTAAGCGGTGCTTTGCCAGCAAGGCACAAGGCTGATAACCCAAAGCAGGAGAGATGAAGAAAGAAGCTAGGGGTAGAGAGCTCCTGTTCTCAGCATGGCTCTGCTGCGTGTGCTCTGCAATTGCATGGCTTCTCTGGGTACCTGGGAAGGCTTCTCCCTAACGGTGAGATGCTTTATCCACAAACGTTTCTGGAGGGTTGGAAAGCTGGAGCTGAGGCTAAAGCTGCATCCCCCCCTAGGATCTGTGCTCTCTGCTGGCATCAAGCAGCCCGCGGAGCTGATAACATTGTTCAAGTGCTTTCTCTTTATCTTGCAGCGCAAAGAAAGGAAGTGCAAGCCCGGGCAGTGTTCTACCCTCTGATGGGCTTGGGGGGTGCGGTCAATATGTGCTATCGAACCCTCTACATTGGGACAGGTGAGTGGCTTTTCCCCATTGTCACCTTCTAAAGGCGGAGTGGCTCTCCCTGGCCCCCCCCCCCCCCCGGGGGGCAGGGGGGGGGGGGGGGCGCCGCTGCTGGGAGTCCCCACGAACGCAAACGCAGAAGTCCCCCATGCAGCAGAATGTTTGCTCTGGGGCTGTGCCTCTGCAGCCTGGTGGGCACCAGAACGTCTCTGGGCAGGGGGAAGAATTAAAGTTTGCTTGTGGGTTTTGTTTCTCGCTGCTCGCGTCCCTTTGGCGCTCTGGAAATGGCCGGTGACACCTAAATGCTGCTCAGCCCTCCTGCCTGTGCAGCAGCCAGCTCTCCCTTCCCCCACTGAAACTTTGTTCGTGGCTTATCGCAGCGTTATTCATGCAGGCCTGGGAGCGCAGACAAAGGCAGTTGCTCCCCTGTTGTTTTGCTAATTGAAGTTTAATTCTGTCTGTTGTTCTCTGCTGCCTGGCAGTTCTTTTTTTTTTTTCTTCCTGAAACGAACTGAGCATTTTTGTCCTCCCCATTGGCAGGAGCCGATATGGATGTGTGCCTTACAAGCTATGGTCACTGTAACTACGTGTCCGGCAAACACGCCTGCATATTCTACGATGAGGTGAGAGCCCGAGCCTTTCTTTGCTTGGCATGCATGGCAGGGGGAGCTGGAGTTACAGGCAGCAGGTTGCCTTTGTGCGGTGCTCCTTTATGGGACTGCAAAGTAGGAGCCAGAGCTGTGAATGGTTTCACTCCATGAAGGCTGCGTCAGCGTTTTGTGTCAAACCCCTTTCTGAAGCACAGAGCTCTGCCAGCATGGTTGCTCTGAGCAAAGTGCTTGTGGACAAAGGCTGACCACAAGCGAGCGCTGTCACTGCTGGCATCCGGGGAAGGAAAATAGCACAGAGATGGTTTGATCCTTTTTGACCCGGCTGATATTTAACTAAAATGTTAGTGTAAACAGAGCTGCCTCTTCCTACCATCCAGAGATGAGTTTGTTCATGGTGTAAACAGACTGGTTTGCCAATGGAAGTGCCGCTGGAGACGGGCTCCTGTTTGACCATCAACAGCAGCAGGCAGGGAGGGGTTGTTTGTGATCAGTTCCTTCTTCTCCTTGCTCAGAACACGAAACATTACGAGCTGTTGAACTACAGTGAGCACGGGACAACGGTGGACAACGTTCTCTATTCGTGTGACTTCTCGGAGAAGATGGCTCCCACTCCTCCCAGCAGTATTGTTGCCAAAGTGCAGAGTGTGATAAGTGAGTGTCCACGCAGCCCGGCCCCTGTCGTGCCCTGGGGACCCGTCGGAGGTCCTGTTCCCCTCTGCTCAGCTTCCTCTTGCCTGGCTGCTGAACTGCATGCGCTCGTGTCCCCTTGGGGACAACGGGACGCCTCTTAGGGCTGCCCTGGGACTCTGCTCCTCTTCCATCTGCTGCTGAAGTGCTTCCAGGCTGCAGGGTTTGCTCCTGGAGCAGCAGCTCCGATGGGCTGAAACAAGCCGCTGCCTCGAGCTGCACCAAACCTGACGTGCTTTTTCTTTTCCAGAGCGACACAAAAGCAGGAAGCAGGAAGAGGAGCCGCATGAAGAAGCCGCCGTGATGAATTCGCAGGCACAAGGGCAGCATCGGAAACCCTGCAACTGCAAAGCCAGCAGCTCCAGCTTGATAGGGGGCAGCGGGGCTGGCTGGGAGGGGACGGCTCTGCTCCACCACGGCAGTTACATCAAGCTGGGCTGCCTGCAGTTTGTTTTCAGCATTACCGAATTTGCGACCAAACAGCCCAAGGGGGACGCTGCCTTAGTACAGGACATGGACTTGGAGGAGAAGCTTTCTCTGAAACCCCACCAGGTGCCCGTGCTGCGCTCCAACTCTGTTCCCTAGGAATTTCGAGGAAGAGAAGCTTTGGAGACCCAAGGAAAACGCCCTCAGACTCTTTGCAATGCAAAAACTGTACAAAACCGAGGTGGGATTTTCTAACGTCAGCCCAGAGACTGTCCACACGCCGTTTGCATGAAATGAAGAACGTTTAACTTTTTTTAATTTTCTTTTTTTGCTCAAGTTTTAGGGGCATTTGCACATATATTTGTACTATACATTTCATTTTAAAAGGAAAACTGCAGCGAGAGCAGGACGCGTCGGAGCGAGGGGCGTCTGAGCCGAGGACTCTCTGACAGGTCGCACCCACGCAGTTGTAAAATAATCAGAAACTTGTTCTATTTTGTGCCAGTGACAATAGTTTTATATTAAAGAGAAATACAGTTTTCATACAGCAAATCTATACAATATCATTGTTTTATTTAATGTAAAGAAGCCGCTCTTCTTCCCACAGTTACGTTTCCCATCCCTCCCCGCTCTGGTTGCACTACAGTAGCTACTGTGTATTGGGCAGTGAGAAACAAATTCTTTTCCTGGTGTCCATCCTCTCTCTTTTTTTTTTTTTTTTTTTTTTTTTTTTTAATTTCAAATAAGGAAAAGTGTTGGATTCTGTGTAAATACATCAGTGATGGCATTTTCAATGTTTTAAAGCTGTGTACAGTGCTACATGTGGTATGACGTCCCCCGACTTGTCTATTGTAGCAGCTCGTTTCGTCGTAACCCCTCTGTCTCTTTTGTTTATATGCCACCCCCTGCAGCAGGCCAGCTAGCTCCACTGTACAGAGTAATTGTAACGTTTTAGACTTTACAGAAACTTTCCTGTATTCTGTATATAAAAAAAAGAAAAATTCACATTGTTTTCTGCCTGTCTGTGTCGTTCTGTCAGCAGGATGGGGGGGGGGAGATGGGCTGGCGGGGCTGCAGCAGGGCTCGGTGTGATTTTATTTCCCCCCCTCCCCAGGGCTCGTGTGACCTCGAGCTCTCCCTGTCCACATTGCGCTGCCCTTTGCCCGCTCCATTGGCTTTTCCACCCCTTCCTGCACAAAGGGCTGCGGCTCTCGGCAGCACAGCCCTCTTCCTCTTTTCCTCCTCCCCTTCCTCCCTGCGCACGGGATGGGGTGGTGGCTGCTGGCCGTGGGGCTGCTGCTCTGCCTGCTGCTTCGCTTCACCCTACGCAGCCCCGCGCCGCCGCTCGCCCTGCCCCCGCTGCACGGCCGCACCGCCGTCGTCACCGGTGAGCGCGGGGCGCCGCGTGCTGCTGCCTGGCTGCCGGCTGCTGACTCACAGCTCTCTGTTGTGCTCTCCTCCGCAGGGGGAAGCAGTGGTATCGGGGAGGCTGCGGCACGGCAGCTGGCACGGTGCGGGGCGCGTGTGGTGCTGGCAACGCGCAGTGCGCTGCGGGGAGAAGAGGCTGCGCGGCGCATCCGTAGGGTGAGAGCTGGGGGGGGGGGTTAGGGAGGGTAATAGGGGCACAGAGAGGGGCTCTGGGGTATCGCTGGGACACCCCCACGGGACGGTCCCAGCGTGCCCCCAGTTCACCCTTACGGCACATCCTTGGAGGACCCTAAGGCACCCACGCCTTCAGCACCCCATGGCGCAGGATGCCCATAGGTAGGATGATCCCATAGGACACCCCCACAGCACACCCCCTGCACCCCAAGCACCCCCAAATTCCTCCACGTGCATCCCTAAAATACCCCCACAGCACATCCCTGGACACCCCAGCTGCAACCCCTGAACATCCCTGTATCATCCCTCACCTCAGTGCACCCTTTTGCCACTTCTATGGGCTCTCCCCAGTGTTCCCCTGCAGCCCTTTGTGCACTCTTAGGACCCCATAACACATCCCTGGACGCCCCTATGGTCCGTCCCCACTGCACGCTTAGGACCCCCCCTTGGCCCTCCCCTGATGTGTGTGGTGCATCCGCATGGCACATCCCACTGTAACCCTCCTCCCATACTCCCAATGCATCTCTAGGACACCCAGATGGGACCACCCCCAGCATACCCCACCTTTAGGCCACCCCATAGCCATTCCCTGCAGCCCCCTCCTTCCTGCACCCCTATTGCAGGACACGGGGAACCCCGAGGTGCTCTTCATGCCTCTGGACCTCAGCAGCCTCCACTCAGTGCACGCCTTCGCCACCGCCTTCCTGCAGCAGGAGCCCCACCTGCACCTCCTCATCAACAACGCCGGTGAGCAGCAGAGCACTGTATTGCATGGGGACCCCCAAACCCAGCACCCACACCACGCACTGCCCACACAGGAGTGAGCGCCGGGGGCACGACGGAGGATGGTTTCAGCCTGCCGTTCCAGGTGAACCACCTGGGCCACTTCCTGCTGACCCGACTGCTGCTGCAGCGCCTGCAGAGCAGCGCCCCGAGCCGTGTGATCATCGTCGCCTCCTCTGCACACTGTGCTGGCCGCCTGCGCATGGCTGAGCTCGGCCGCCCACCCCCCGGCCCCTTTGCTGCCTTCCAGGATTACTGTGACAGCAAGCTGGCCAACGTGCTGCACGCACGGCAGCTGGCAGCACGCCTGCAGGGGACTGGAGTCACTGCCTATGCCGTGCACCCAGGTATGGGCAGCTCAGTGCCAAGTGGTTTGCTTGTTGCATGCTTGCGTGGAGCACCCCTTCACGTGGAGCATCCCTTTGCACGGTGTTCCCTTTGCATGCAGCATCCCTCTGTGCTGTGCATCTTTTACGCCGTTCGCCTTTTGCACAGCATCCCTTTGCATGATGCATCTCACTGCACGGTGCATGGAGCACCCTCTGTGCAGTACACCCTTTCTACAGTTTACCTTCTGCACAGCATCCTTTTGCACGCCACATCCCTTTGCGCGAAGCATCCCTTTGCACAGCCATCTCTTTGCACACCACAAAGCGCGTTGCTTTGTGTGCTGTGTCCCTTTGCTGATGGGTCCCCTCCCCACCGGTGTCTGCTGCAATGCACCCCTCCTCTCTCCCTGCAGGTTTTGTCAACACTCAGCTGTTCCGTCACGCACCGCTGTGGTTGCAGCTGCTGTGGACTCCGCTGTCCCGGTTCTGCTTCCGCAGTGCAGCTGAAGGCGCACGCCCAGTGCTGTTCTGTGCCACGCAGGATGGCCTCGAGCCCTTCAGTGGCTGCTACTTCGCCAACTGCCGCCCTCTGCAGCCCTGGGCTCAGGGCAGGGATGATGCTGCAGCATGGGAGCTGTGGGACCGCAGCGAGAGGCTGTTGGGGCTGCAGCCCTCCTTGTGCACACCTGTGGAATAAATAAGTCCTGCAGTTGTGTTGCACTGTGTCATGCAGCTCCCCAAGCTGCCCCGGTGCCATCTTCTGCATGCCATCCCATGCACACTTGCACATGCAGAACAGCTTGTCCAGCTTTGCAAAGAGTGCAGTTGCTGCAATGCAGCATGCTCTGCCTTGCACACACATGCACAAGCTGTGTGCACGCCCTGCCTTGTCAATGCATGCATGTGCACACAAATGCTGCAGCGTGAATGTGCTCTGCTTTGCATAGTGCAACAAATCACACTGTAGTGTGCACACTGCACCATGCACTGCATTGCACACTCTGCAACAAAGCATGCCCTAATGCACACACACTGCAATGCACACACATGCACTGCACTGCACATGCCCTACCATTCACATACACTACACACATTGCATACGCCCTGCCTTGTGCATGCACACACAGCCTTGCACGCACACAGCACATGCTTTGCAACACCTGCACTGCACTGCACGTGCCCTGCCTCGCACACATTGCATTGCACACGCATGCATACACTGCACACCTGCTGAACTTCACACACTGCATTGCATACAACCTCGCACATTAAGGAACACACCGCTGTGCACTGGCCACCCTCTGCACGGCACGCCCTCCCCTTGCATTGCATTGCATTGCATTGTCGTCGCACACTGCGCACGCGCCGCGTAGCGCCCCAAGATGGCGGCCGCCCCTGACCCCGCCCCTCCGCGCGGCTCCCACCTCCCCAAGATGGCGGCCGCCCTCCCAAGATGGCGGCCGGCCGTGACTCCGCCCCCAAGAGCGCTGCCCACCTCCCCAAGATGGCGGCCGCCGTGGAGGCGGGGCGGCGCTGGGCGGACCGGGTGCGGGCGGGAGGCGGCGAGAGGCGGAGGAGCCGTTCCGCGGGCAGCATGGGCAACTGCCACACGGTGGGGCCCAACGAGGCGCTGGTGGTGTCAGGTACGGGCGGGCACAGCGCTGTGGGGCTCTGGCTTGAAGGGGACCCGGGGGGGTCCTGAGCTCTGGGGGTGGGGCTGCGCCAGGCCTGGGTGTGGGGGGGTCACGGTGTGGGGAGGGGACGTGTGGCACTGGGGGGGTCAGCAGGTGGGTTAGGGGGACGTGGCACTGGTGTGGCACTGGTGCTCCCAGCTCAGCCCTGGGGCAACGATGGGAATTGCCGAGGCCGTGGCAGGAGCAGGGAAATGAAAGCTGTGTGCGCCTGCTGGTTCTCAGGAGATGCAGACAGCTTCCCTTGGCTCCCCGTGAGACCCCTTCCGAGGAGCGCAGCACAGTGCTCGGGAGCCAAGGAGCCATCGTCCATCTGCACCAGGGCACCGCGCAGGCTGCAGGGTTTGCTGTAACCTCTGTTCCTTCCTGAATCTCACAGCGTGCAGCTCGCAGGATGGCCTGGCAGGAATTCGTGACATCAGCTGGTGAGCCAGGGCTGCTCCTGGATGCAGCACCGAGCTGTGGGACGAGGGCAGAACACAGCCCAGGGACGCAGAGTGGGCTCAGTGCCATCCCCAGACACAGCTCTGCTGCTGTTCCCTACCAGCATCGGCTCCTCAGCACCCCTGGGCAGAGCAGCAGGGTGCAGCCTTGGGTTCCGGGAACTGAAGCGGTCTGTGTGCAGAACAGAGAGAGCTGACGGCATCCGGCGCTTAATTGGGTGATATTAGGTCAGATCTGGGAAAGGGAGGAGAAATGTGACAGCAGGTCGTGGCAGCAGCTGGCTCTTGGCTTGCTGTCATGCAGCTGTGATGCTTTCTGAGCTCCTTCTTTTTGCTGGTGAGGCATCTCAGGCCCTCAGCACCAGGAGCAGCAGCCGTACCCTGGAAACTTGTGTGCATGCAGAGATCCACAGCCTTATTTGGGAAGCAGCCTCCAGGGCACGGCCAGCACTGTGCTGTGTCCTTCCCTCTTGAGCAACACTCGTTTCCTTCTAAGAAACTGCCCTGGGTCAGGCAATCCATGCAGAGCCCAGGAATGCTCTGGGGAGCTGTGCGAGGTGATGATGGGCTCTGCAATTTGAGTCTTATGTTGCAGGAGGAGCTGCAAGCTTCCCACTGGGGCTTGGCGCGGGCCCTGGGGAGGCTTTGGCTCCTTGCAGGCTGCTCCTGGGCAGAGCCCTGCGTTCAGAGAAGCAATACCTGCTCACCCTGACGTCAGGCTTCCCACAAGATGCACAGATCCTCTCCAAGTGCGTAATGGTTTTCAGTTGCAGCCTGGCTGAACGCAGCCGTTGTGGCTCGGGATCAATCTGCTAATGCTGAAATCCAACACTAATATTTCTGCAGAGCCTCATCATCAGGAGGCGTCATATTTAATGGCTGCTCTCATCTTACAGCTCCTGTGAGCCAACAGGGCAAACAGTGCAGGGCCCAGCAGCAGCTGGGACATCTGGAGGTGCAGTGTGGGGCAGGTTGTGCAGAGCACAGTGCTGGTGGAGCAGCAGGGTGCTGCTTCAGCTGGAGGTCAGGGTGTGAAAGAGAAGCAATAGGGCCCAGCTCAGCTCCCCAGTGCAGCCCCTCTGGGCTCTTTGATTTCTCTCAGAGCAAGAGAAGAGCAGGCAGCTGATTCTAGTTTTGTGTCAACATTTCCTGTCAGGCCCCAGCAGTTGGGGATGGTTAACCCTTCCCGACCTGATCTGAGCACTCACATCCTCTTGCTGCATCCCTCTTATTCCTGCAAGAGGAACTGTCTGTGAGCCAGCGTACCACAAAAACACACAACAGTCACTTGTACACGTTTTGAAAGCCAGAAATACAGTCTTCTGGAGGCTCTGTGAACCCTTCCTGCTCTGCGAGAGCCCTGCAGTCCTCAGGTACTGTAAGATTGATGTGAGCCAGGCTGGAAAACCAGTGCCAGGGAACCTGACAGTGGTTCACTGTTCAGCTGAAGGGATTTATCAAGTAAGTGCCTTGTTTTGGCTTGGGTGGTGGAATCGAGAACGTGCTTATTGAATGTGCAGATGACATTGAGCTGGGAATGGATTCGAGAGCTTTGAGAGCAGGATTAGGATCAAAGCAAACTCAACAGCTAGGCCAAACGGTCTGAAAGGGGTGCGATGCTGCTCAGTGAAGAGAAATGCGGAGAGTGCTGTTTAGGGGAGAGCAACCAATGGCATGAGAGCAGAACAGAAGCTCCAGGCCATCTCCTGTAGGAAAGGGAGGCTGCAATCTCCAGGTCCCTGCAGAGAGGAAAGCAGGAGAAGAGGCAGGCAGAGTCCTTTTGTTTCTGGGAGGAATTTTGGGGTAACATCTCAGCAGCTTTCTTGTGTTTGCTTTCCTTCTCCTCTGGGTTTCTGTTTGCAAGGTGGGTTCAGCTGAAGGAGTGGTTTGCAAACTCTCTGTAGCAGCGATACTCAGAGTTGGAAGTGGTTGGTTTGGGTTTGGATGACCTCCAGAAGGAGCTCACCAGCACAACCTGCACTTCCCTGTTGTTGTGACCATCAGAGGATTACACAGGCCCACCTCAGAATCCCCCATCTGATAAATCCATTTTATTAACCTTGGACGAGGCACGAGGACAAAGCCTGATTGATATTCACAGTGGCACCTGAGAACCAGACGCTGATTTTAGTCTAGACCCTGCTTTATTACGTGAGTTTCTTTGCGTGTGTCTTTGCCTTCTCCTCTCTGTGTTCAGCAGTGTTCCCAGCAATCACTCTGCTTGTTTCCCAGCAACACTTCCCTGCATCTACCAAAGAGCTCAGCTTATCTACAGATCCTCAAATCTTTCATCTCATGTCATCCAAGCCAGGCAGCGTGCTTTCTCTCGACTCTGGGAAGCCATGCTGGAACACGGGACCCCTTCATCTGAAGAGGCCAAAGTGGCTGGCAGCTGCCTGGCCATGAATCCCCAGTTTGCAGCAGGTCTGACTGTGGCACGCTGCACCCGGAAAGTGTGGGGATGTTGGTGAAAGGGACGGCAGAGTGGCTGTGAGACCCAGCCCTGGGGAACAGCGGGTGTATTATAGCTGAGAAATGCACCTCCTCTGCCAAATCCCATTGTGCAAGAGGGGTTATTCTTCAGCCTTGCAAGGATTTCACTTTGTGGGTTCTTTTTTCACTTGATCTCTGAGACTTGGCAAAGAGGCTGCAAGAAGTGCAATGGAAAATTAACCATCGTGCGTTAGCGGGACAGAGCTCTGCTGCAGTCCAACGTCCAGCTTGCAGGAAAGCAACCAGCTGGCATCCCACCTCTGCTTGATGGCTTTGGCTTCCCTGTTTTTCTTATGCTTTGAACGCTTCAGGGCGTACGGCAGAGTTTAGCAAACGGAGCTGCATAGCAGTGTTAGGAGGCTCTGGGAAGCAAGTGTTGGGTGTGATGCTGAGCGAGGCGTTGCCTGCAGAAGAAAAAAGGAATCTGTGAGCAGAAGCACCTTCCCAACTTGTAGCAGCAGTGCTATTAGGGCACGTTTTTCTCAGAAAACGATTATTAAACAATTGCCAGAGGTTCGCTGGAGGCCTAATGACCACGTGGATGCTGTGAAATGAACAACTTTCCGTGCTGCCAGGAGCACCTCCCTTCCTGTCCTTGGGAAACGAGGTCCTCCAACAAATGTTACCAGGCGTTGCAGTGCTGTGAGATTGTTCTGCTTGCAACTCGCCCTGTTTGGGTGCAGGGTTTTCCCTGACACATGGGTGTAATGGCTCTTCCATCTGTGTTCTTCCCACTGTGCTGCAGGTGGCTGCTGTGGCTCCGACGTGAAGCAGTATGTGTACGGCGGCTGGGCCTGGGCCTGGTGGTGCATTACGGACACACAGAGGTAAGGAGACCCAGAGGTCAGCCCCACTTTGCTCGTGGGTCTGGAGCACACGCCAGGCAGAGCCGTCCCTGCAGGGCTGTCAGTGTCTGTAGGAATGCAGGGCTGGCCTGGACATGAGAAACCATGGCTGAGCATCAGCACTCTGCCTTTGGCTGCAGCCCCTGCCTGCTGCCCAGCTCTGTTCTTCTAAAGACGTGCTCACTGCTGTCACCACGGGAGCAGGCTGTGTTCTTGTTTAAAAGCACAGGATTTCCTTTCCTTCCCTTTCCTCGGTCATGGACTTTGCTTGTTTCTGAATTAACGTGCTGTGGTACTGCTGCTATGGCTCTTCTTTAGGACCTGTGGGGATGTTGCTAAGTGTGCTTCTGTCCTAACACCTCCCTCACACCCAGGCACAGGTTTCTGCCTATGTAAAAAAGTAACAGGGAAGGGATAAAGACGTGACTTTTGGGTTTTTTGCACTACATGAAGGCCAGAGGTTGCAGCTAACCTTCCCTCCTCCACGTCAACGTGTCGCCACCAGCAGACAGCCAGCATGCTGCTGCCCTCCCCCTGCAGATGCTGCACAGCCCTCAGTGCTGCTCGCCTGGCTCAGCCAGCTTGCTGCTGGCAATGGGCTCACAGCTCTTAGCTCCTTTCCTGGGACCTTGCATGAAGAGTCTCAGCTAACACCCTCTGCTTTGGCCCAGGCTCTTTGGCAGTGCTGCTATTAACTTGTGAAGTTGAGCAAAGGTTGAGTCCAGGTTAGAGAGCTGCTTGCTGGGAGCGAGCTGTCATGTGCTGGAGGTCTGTGCACTGTCTGGCAAATGGGGCTTGGACAGGATTGCAAGCACCCAAGCAAATGTTGTACTTTAAAATCTGTACCCTCAGGTTATGCCATGGGGCTAAATTCTCCTTTTGAGACTGGAGTCTTTCCCAAATACCATAAGTTGTGCCACAGTTGGAACCTGCTGCACGCACACGAGTGAGGCAGATTTCTTCCTTTGAAATTAGGACATCTTTTTTGGAGCTATGGATGAGACAGCAGTAATTGTGTTGCTGTCAGCTGCACCTCGCCAGGTAGCACCAACCTGAGGACAAAAGGAGTGCTTGGAGCTGGCAGGGCTTATCCTGCTGCAACCTTGAGGGCTGAGGGGAAAAAAAACACAGCAGGAGAAATCTCATCCCTGTGTTGAGGTCAGAAATAAAAGCAGCCAGAGAGGCAGTGCCTCCCAGGGAACCAAATGGTGTTATTCAGCCTCTCAGGACAGCACTTGGAAGCATCTTCTCTCCTCAGTGCCTTAGCAGGGATGTGTAGCCGGGTCCCTGGTGCTTTTATTTTTCTGGCCCATCTTTAATGATGGCAGCGACAGCGAAGCCGTTACAAAAAATTATTTCCTGTGTTAAAAGTGCTGCAGCAGGAAATTCCAGCTGACTTCAGGACAGCAGTGCAGGTGGGTTACAGGTGGCAGCACCTGATGGGGGTCGGGGTGAGAGCCCAGCCTCTTTAACCTCCCTAAAAAGCAGCGCCAGATGCCGAGAGCTCCATGCAGCATGGGGGAAGCTGTGCCCAGCATTACAGAGTCCAGGGATCAGCAGTGGGAGAAATGCAGACATGAACAGGGAAAAAGCTGAAAGCCCCGTCTGTCCTTTGCAACAAATGTCTTACTCTCTGGTAACCGCTTTGTGTATTTGCTGTCCTACCCTTATTCCTTGCTGCTCAGACTGTCTTTGGAGGTTATGACCATCCTCTGTCGCTGTGAGAATATTGAGACGTCGGAGGGGGTCCCACTGTACGTAACAGGGGTTGCACAGGTAATAACCCACCAGCTTCCTAACGTCACGTCTAACTATTTCTGCCTCTGTTCTGAGCAGCAGCAACAGCAGCAGCAGCAGGACAACATAAAAACGAATGGTTTTCTATTGGGACAGTGAACATCTCAGCACCTTCCTCTCCTACCCCTCCTCTGGCGTTTGCTCTGGGGTGCACTCTGCAGCATGTAGGTAATGCAGACAGATGCATACTTGGCAAATTCCAAATTCGGCATTGCTATGCTGGCTCCTGATAATGCTGCAGACGTTTGCTTCGACTGTAACCCTTCCCTTGGCAGCACCATTCGCATTGCGTGCAGAAGTGCATCTGGCTGCAGACAGGCAAGGCTGGGTTTTACACAGGGTTTTACACAGGGAAGGTGGGGAGCTGAGCTTTGGCTCGTTTCGAGAGGAAGTCTGCACCCACGTGGGGAAATGGCAGCTCTCTGGTTTTGAATACGAATTTCCACTGAGCCCTTCCTCCTCCACACAGAGGCAGTGCCCGTTTTGGATGCTGTCTCGTTTAAAAGCACAGCACGGAGACCTCGGGTGAGTTGCAGCACTGAGGAGTGGTGCTTGCTCTTGCTGTGAGCAGTTACAGACCGCCGTCACAGCGATTACTGAACTTCCCTGGGACTGGCCAGCTAGGAAGCAGCACAGCATTTAATTGAAATTAAAGGTATGGATTAGGCTTTCAGAAGTCCTACACCAGCTGACTGAAGCTGCATATGGCACAAAATACCTGTGCGCATCCTGGGCAGCGGGACCTCGTGTTTTCAGCTCCCAGCTTGCATGCCAGTTCAATTAGGACAGCAGCCAGGGCAGAGTTGGGCTCGCAGGGATTTGTTTGAGCACCCCACCAGTCCCAGATGTGCCCACAGCGTGCAGCCCCCTGCCACCCACTCATGCTTTGGATGCCTGAGCTAATGCTGACCAACACGAGCAGGCTGCACAGACCAACACTTTGCTCTGTGTCCCAGCATGTTCCCAGCTCGGTGCAGCTGCTCCTATCTATGGGCTGTGCTGCCTGGAGCACAGCTCGTGTGTCACCATCTTGTGACCTGCAGATCTGTCCACAGCACCTTCAGCCCTTGCCAAAAGCAAGATATGCTTTTGGCTGTCTGACCTCAAAGGAGCTGGAGACGCACGGCCCAAAGGCAAATAGGAAAAGTAGGGAGAGTGAGGGAGATGAGAGAGTAGGGCTGTGTGAGTGTTAAGCCAACGAGGGAAAAGGCATGGCTGCTTCTTGCAGCACCAGCATCACAGGGTGGCGCAGGGTGGGTGCATCTGGGCTCCGTGCTGTGCTTTCAAACCAGTGACAGCAGCCAGAGCTGGGGACCCAAAGCTCCTGGCTGCCTCACCAGCCCTGCTGATACACTCCTGTTAAGTGGCGTTTGGAAACCTCCTTCTTTCTGTCCAAGCTGTCCTGTCTGTCTGCAGTCACATACAGTTCTGTGCCTGTCTCGCATTACCCGTAGGAGTGCAGCTGGTAGCCAGGGCAGGAGGTGCAGGGGAAGGCAGAGTGTGTGTTACCTGGAAACGTGCAAATATTTTACGTTTTTTGGCAGGATTTCCCTAGAGATAATGACGTTACAGCCCAGGTGTGAGGACGTAGAGACGGCGGAGGGGGTAGCTTTAACTGTCACAGGTGTGGCACAGGTACAGTAACTCCAAACCATCATTTCAGGAATGCATGTCTCTAACTGGCTTTCCCCCTTACAAGGTTGCTGTTGTCCTGGAACAGAAGCCAACTGCTCTGAGACAAATTCTGGTACAAAACCACACTGTCCTCTTTGGTTCGAGCATGGTACAGCACATCCATGTTGTAACAGGGGTTGTGACCTCTCCTCTCCCCAGAATCATTCCTCTTCTTGCAATGTCACGTTTGTCCCTGTGGCAGATGAGTTGTGTGGGTGACTTCATCTGTGATGTGCCGTGGTGGCCCTGGAGCTGTGTGACACTGCAGGGCTGAGCCACTCACATCTGAGATGGTGCCGAGAGTTGGGTTGGTTTGGATTATTAGTGTGTGGGTCTTGTTGTTCCTCGTGGTGAGTTTAAGCTAGAAGGAAGAACTTGAACTCTCAGGGCAATAAAATCTGTGTATGAAATTTCTGGCTTGAATTGAATTTTGGTTGCCTCAAGCCTTCTTCAGACACAGCAAAACCTCACGTGCACCAGGAGCCCCCCAGGATGAGCACTGCAGCTCTTTAACAGCTGTGCGTTGGAGAGATTCCACCCAGTGCTCTTGCAGGGTCTCTTTGCTTGGCCCTTGACAGACAAGGTGCTGTAAGTGGGGCTGTGCTCAGCCAGTAGCAGTGTCTGCATCACTGCACGCAGCAGAAGGGCTGGGCACACCTGTGGCTTCAGCTCTGTCTTTGCATGGTTGGAGAAATGCATGCACCCCTGCCTCCTTCACACAATTCTGTAAAGCTGTCAGCTTCTCCATCTTCTGATTGGCAACACTCCTGCATGGGAGGGATTTCTCTTTGAAGCTCTTTCTAGCTTCATTTTGGGACATCCTCCCACTACTCACAGCAGGACTAGGCTGGGCAGTGCATGCAGGCAGAAAGCTGCACCACCGTGCTCCAATACAGCTCCGAATCTACCTTGCCCAGGTTCTTTGCTATTCCCACTGTTGTTTTTTGTTTGTTGTTGATCTGTCACACTCACCTGAGGTTTTGGCATTTCTTCGTGTGATCGGGGTAGTGTTGTGGTGTTGAACTTGTCACCTCACAGACCTAGAAATAGTTGTGTTGCTTTTACCGGCACTTAAACCCTGGATATGGGTCTGGCGGGGGGCAGGATGAGGTCTGTAGGTCGTGAACCCACCGAGAGCACACAGTGGAGCCCCCAGAAGGGTCTCGTTTGGAGGTCTTTGAGCCAGGATGATGCTGGGCTTTCAGGCAGCAGCAGCCAGGGCTGGTGGACGGCGCACAGAGGGCTGCCCCACCGCCGGCACTGCCCAGCCCCGCTGTCTCCATCAGAGGGTGCTGTGGGACTTTCTCAGCGCCCAGCCGTGCTGGCTGCATGCCGATATGGCCCTGCTCCCCCCCCCCCCCGCTGCTGCCAGACACACAGGCATCCTTATGTCCTGGACCACCAGGAGCTGCCACTTTAGGACTGCACTCAGGAACTGTGTGCTGCATCTCCACTACCTGACATCCGTACCCAGTGGGGGGTTTTAAGCCAGCGGGGAGCAGCTCTGAGAATTGGCACCGGATGGTGAGGAGCAGGCTGGCCAGGTGCTGGCACATGGGGGCACACAGAGCCCCCAGGCGTGTGCAGGCAGAACACAGTGTGCTGTGGCCATCTCGTGTCATCCCTCCTTGCAGGGAGCACCATGTGGAACCGCCGTTCCCATCAGTAGCGTGGGGATCTGGCAGCCTGGTGGTGGTGCTGCTGCTGCTGCTGCTGCTGCTCTTGGGTGTCTCTCCCACCTTGGACAGGCACAATCAGCCCCTTTGGTTTTGTCTCCTGTCTCCAGGTGAAGATAATGACCGAGAAGGAGCTCCTGGCTGTGGCCTGTGAGCAGTTCTTGGGGAAGAACGTGCAGGATGTGAAGAACGTGGTCCTTCAGACACTGGAGGGGCATCTGCGCTCCATCCTAGGTGCGGATGGGCTCACAGTCTCGCAGGCATCATCAGCAGCCTTTTTCCCCCTGTGCTGGCTGACCCCAGCAGTACTGCTGCCACCATGGCAGGCCACGATGGGTGCTTCCTCTGCTGTATGCAGATGTGGCAGCTTAGATTGTTCCTCCCCTCCGGCAGCTCGTGCTGTGCTGCTGGGTGTTGTGATAAATGAGTTTTCGGTGCCTGCAGTAAGAGATGTCTGAGTCCCCACGGGTTGCAGGTAGCCCTGTGTGTGGCTGCACTTCTGAGATGCTGATGTGCAGAACATGGGCTGGGCAGCAAGCTGTACCCTTGTGCCCAGAGCTGACCTCACTGTCTGTGTGATTTGAGACAAGTAGGATGTTGCTGAGCTTAGACCCATGCTGCTACATGCTCCCTGTTTCAAATAAAGTGCTTTGCCTGCCTTTCTTCTGCAGGCACCCTGACGGTGGAGCAGATCTACCAGGACAGGGACCAGTTTGCCAAGCTGGTGCGAGAGGTGGCAGCTCCAGACGTGGGTCGCATGGGTATCGAGATCCTGAGCTTTACCATCAAGGTACCATCATGGTGCACAGCCAGCCGTGCTGTGAAGCAGGGACAGAGCCTGACCCTGGCTCTCCCACTGAGGCTGATGGAAAAGCAGTGGCTGACAGCCTGCCCCAGCCCTCCAGGGGTTTCCATGACAGCCGCTGCAATGTGCCCTGCATCCAGGCAGCACTGTGCAAGCAGGAGAGCTCAAACAGGAGAGCTCGAACAGGAGAGCTCAAACAGGAGAGCTCATTGCTGGCCGAGCCCCCAGGACTGGAGGGAGGATGCTGGGAGAGTCGCCTCTCCCTGTCATGCCTGGTTCTGCTTGGCAGCAGCCTAACGTGGCTCTTCCTGAGCCTGGCCTAACCAATGATTGCTGTGAGCTCCTTCAGGAAGGCAACAAGATGGAGTCACTGATTGGAAGCGGCTGTGACTTATCTCCCTTTCTCCAGGATGTCTATGATAAAGTGGATTACCTGAGCTCCCTGGGAAAGACTCAGACTGCGGCTGTCCGAAGAGATGCAGACATTGGTGTGGCAGAAGCTGAGCGGGATGCTGGCATTCGGGTGAGTGCAGGGCTGTGCTGAGCTTCCCAGAGCAGTGTTTTGCTCCAGCTGCACACCCTTGAGCTGTGCTCTCCATTTTCTCTCTGCAGGAGGCAGAGTGCAAGAAGGAAATGCTGGATGTCAAGTTCATGGCAGATACTAAAATAGCAGATTCCAGGCGTGCCTTTGAACTGCAGAAAGCTGCCTTCACTGAGGAGGTCAACATTAAGGTGAGAGGTATCTGACAGCCTGCTGGTGTCCCCTGGTTTGCAGTGGTGTTGGTTGCTCCGAGGCTTTCCAGCTTCCTCTCTCTGCATGTTTAGAGAGCCAGGTCTGGAGAACACAGGTCTGTGTGTCACAGTGCACGCTGCTTGCAGCACATTCCTCTCCTACCCTGTTGCCATCACTTAAGTCAGACTAGGGGGAGATGGAGGGATGGGGAGAGTTGCCTGAGTTGAACCCAGAGCTGTTTTTGTTCAAATACTGCGAGAAGAGCACACAGAGAGGGACTGCAAGTGCAGCACTGAGGACTGGGATGTCACCCTGGGTGGAGATTTGACCCACGTCTGCTGTCAGAGCCTGCCAAGGGTCCTTATGTCTGCACTCAGGAGTACGAGCCCCCTGTTCTCCTCTCTCCCACATGCAGACAGCTGAGGCCCAGCTGGCCTACGAGCTCCAGAGTGCCCGGGAGCAGCAGAAGATCCGCCAGGAGGAGATAGAAATCGAGGTGGTGCAACGCAAGAAGCAGATCGATGTGGAAGAGAAGGAGATCATCCGGAAGGAGAAAGAGCTGATAGCCACTGTGAAGCGGCCGGCGGAGGCCGAAGCTTACCGCATCCAGCAGATCGCCGAGGGGGAGAAGTGAGTGAGCCTGAGCTGTCAGTGGGGCACAGGGAGCTGGCTGTGTGCTGGGCTGGGCTGGGAGCGCCGTGCTCTGACCCAGCTTGCAGGCTGACGGCGGAGATGTTGGCTGCTGTAGGGCTTGCTTTGCCTTTTCAGGGTAAGGCAAGTCCTCCTGGCTCAGGCGGAGGCAGAGAAGATCCGCAAGATCGGAGAAGCTGAGGCCTTTGTGATTGAGGCCATCGGGATGGCAGAGGCCGAGAGGATGAAGCTGAAGGCCGAAGCGCTCCAGAGCTACGGGGAAGCTGCCCAGCTGGCTCTGGTGCTGGATGCACTGCCTGAGGTGAGGAGGGAGCAGCTTTCCCCTGCTCTGGGCTGGAGGTGGGGAGTTCCCAGACTGGGCCAGCTCTCCTGGAGGCACAGAGAGGCACCACGAGCTGTGTGTCCTCACCCTGTGGGTCTGACCAGCAGCTCCGTGGCTGCATGCTCATGCCAAGCTGCTTCCCTGCCTCCTCAGATTGCTGCCAAAGTGGCTGCTCCGCTCTCCAGGGTGGATGAGATCATTGTTCTCAGCGGGGAGAGCAGCAATGTGACATCTGAGGTGAACCGCCTGCTGGCCGAGATCCCCGCCTCCGTGCGTGCCATCACCGGTGTGGACCTCACAAAGGTGAGCTGGGTACCAGCAGCAGCCAATGGCTCTTGGGTGTGCAGAATTGCCCTGAGTTGTTCAGATTTTAGGTGGCCTCTTTCCGCAGCCCTGCCCTGCTGGAGCTCCCTGCATCTTCCTGCGGCCCTAACAGTTCTCTCTTTCCCTGCTACAGATTCCCCTGATCCAGAAAGCCACTGGGACCCAGGCATGAGACCCAAAGCGTGTGAAGATCACTCCCTGTTATGCACTCCGACATCAACTGCCTTCAACACTTGGGAATTCCTTTTATATCAGAGACAATTGGAGTTTCGTTTTTAAGCTCTGGTGCCTTATTTTGTAGGGCCAGAAAGATGCATGTTCAATCAGCCGCTCTTTTTTGTTACAAAGGGTGGGAGGAGATTTATTTTCTAACTAATTGTATATTGTATCCAGCCGGTGTTTGGCTCTGATCCACGGTTAGGACTGGCAGCTTGTCTGGTGTTGCTGTTCTCTGTCCTCAGGAGCTCGCAGCAGGGGCTCAGCAAGATGTGTGCAGGCACCAGGACCTGCTCTGGGCTCCCTGCCCTCCCACTGCGACCCTATGGGGCGCTGCCCAGACCCCTGCTGCTGCCCACAAGCTGGGTTTGTGGTTGGCTTTCCACATGTTTGTCTTGCCTGCAGCCTGGGCACGGCTTCCCAGAGGTGGCAGTCCTGGTTGGGTGATGCTGGGGCACTGCCAGGGCTCAGTGCCATCTTGCCTTCCCTCAGGGAATTTCCTGCTGGCCTCTTGCTCAGCCCTGAGCCGGGTCCCTCGGTGCCACGCTGCTCCCCACCCTTAGGCTCCCTGACCTCAAGGAGCGCTGCAAGGCGGCCGAGCTGCAGAAATCCCAAAAAGCAGCGTTGTGCCAAAGCTGTTTGATCATCCCAGAGGGAGGCAGCCACCCAGGCTGCTGTCCCTGAGTGCCACCATGCCTCTCACCTCTGCTAGCAGAGCAAGGGCCTGAGTGGCATGGGACGGCACAGGGCACTGCGATGGGGACACTTTCCTCCTGCAGCACTCCTGCAAACCCCCACCCACCTGGCAGCCCATGGCTTTGCTGTCCCCAGAGATGCTGTGAAAAGGCTGTCCCCTCTGTGTCCCCTGCAGTGCCACCAGGAGCGGGCACTGACCTTCACCCTCTCTGTGTCTGTCCTGCTGCCTGTGTTTGCTGTGGCTGTGCCTAAAAACGTTTGCATGGAGTCCCAGCTGGTGGGATGGGGGGAGGGGGTCCCAACTTTGTGCATCCGGTGCCACAGCTCAGTGTCACCCTCTTTGCAGAGGGGTGGCTGCTGGGTGCAGAGACCCAGGCCCACTTTGCCCTGGCAGTGCCACTGGTGCTGCAGTGTCACCTCCCTACTGCTGTACAGGAGGGGCCAGGCCTTATCAGCCCCCAGCTTGTGGCTGCCAACCCCGATCTGGTGCTTGCTGATGGGTGTGCCGGGCAAGGCTCCCTATCTCAGTGTGTGTGCATGCCTGCACCGTGTCACTGCTGTGCGATAATAAAGCCTGTCACCTCGTGCCCTGGCTCTCATCTTGTGCCTTCTGTCCCCACCCCACACCCCCAGAGTGTTTGCCCTCCTGGCAGCCCACCTTGGCTGCACTCGGGTGTCCCCCCATACCATGTCTCCATGGTCCCATCACCCTGTCCTCAGGGCTTGCTTCCAGCCCCACACTATGTGGGGTTCAACCCTGTTCCACTTTGCTGGGTGACAGCAGCTCCATATGTCACCCAGGGACCCCATTGCTGTGGGGGCAGTGATGCTGGCAGGGACTGAAGGCTACTTCTGTCCCCGGGTTGGTGGCACTGTGCTGTCCTCACCAGCTCTGCACCCATGGGTGTGAGAGATGGAGAAGGGCTTTCAGCAGGGTCTTCAGCAGCAGGAGAAGGGATGGTGGGCTGTGAGGATGGCACTTCCCAGTGAGAGGGCTGAGGATCTGGTGCAGGGTGCCCAGAGGTGCCCGTGCTCCATCCGTGCAGGTGCACAAGGCCAGGTTGGACACATCCTGGCAGTGCCCATGGAAGGGGTCGGACAGGACAGCCCAAAGTCTTTTCCAGCACAGGCAATGCTGTGACTCCATGTCCTGGAGCACCTCTGTCCCCAGCCCTGTGCTGGTGGCTCTGTTGGTACATGTGCTCTCCATTGAGTGAGGATATCCAGCAACCGGGGGGCTCTGTAGACACCTCGTGCCCCCAAGCCCCTCTGTGTCCCACCAAGTGCTGGGCAGGACAGAAGGGCCCCCCATCCTGCATGCCCCACGCAGGGTGGCTCTGCAGATAGGTGGGTGGGGATGGGTTGGTGGCTCCTTATCTACAGCTACACACAGCCCTGCAGCATTGGCGGAGGGGGGCTGCAATACCAAAGCCCCCATAGCTGCTCTGCAGTGCTGTCCTGGTGGCCGCACACTTGGCAGTGCACGGATGTGGAGCACAGCTGAGTGAGCAGCAGGGATGGGGACACTGGGAGACACTTTGACAGAGTCCCTGCTCTGGGTGCTGGCTGCTTGTGCTGCTGTCTGGGGACACTCACATCACAACAAGGTCCAAAGGGAGCAGGGAACAGCCCCCTGTCGTCCCCAAGTCCTGGTGTCCTCATGTTGCTGGGGACACACTGCTGCTGGCAGCTGTGCCACCTCCTGCCAGGGTCTGGTCATGCTGCCCCTGTCACACAGAGGGGACAGCAGGGCTGGGAACACCTTGCACCCCATTGCAGGGTCCGCAGCAGCCACCCAGTGCTGCTTATCTGGGTCTCCAAGCACACAGCCCTGGTGGGGACTTATCATATCCCTGCAGGTGGCTTCCAGGAATGCCACCATGTCCCTGCCCTGCCAGCACAAATAGCACAATAGCATGGCGCTGGCTGCAGGATGTGACCCTCGGGGGGACACACAGGGCTGGGGACACATATAGGCAGAGCCACACACAGGCACACGCAGCCAGGCACTGCGGCTGTTTGGGGACACACACGGCCAGAGGCCATGAATGGCCATAGTCACACACAATGAGGTGACACAACCCTCTTGGGGACGCATGGATCCATCCTTTGGGGTTGCATATGTGACACAGGGACACATTGGGCACCAGTTTGTCATGGGCAGCTCCCAGTCTGGGATGAAGGACTGGGGGTGATCCAGCAAGGGGGTGGCCCTGGCCCCTGGCACCCCCCTGTCCTCGTGTCCCCCACAGGCAGAGCTTTGTGGGATGGCGCAGTGCTGGAGGCTGGTGTCCTCCCTTTCACCCCCCACCCTCCCAGACACGAAGGGGTTACAGGGCCACACCAGCTGTGCTGTGCAGATTTGAGATATGCAGATGAGGCTGTGCAGGATTTATAAAGTGGGTGCAGCAGCAGCACCCCACAAAGCAGCGGGGTCACCCCGAGAGGTGGGTGCTGCCTATGGGGACGCAGCGGGGTGGTGGTGGCACTTTGGGGACGAGGTGACACTAACGATGCTCTCCTTTTGTTTAGGTGCTTCTCATCACGCTGCCTGCCGCCCTGGGCTGGATATCATCATATACTGTAAGTTCACTATAAGACACTACAGTATAGATGATGTACTCCCCTGGGCTGCACCCGGCCCTGAGAGCTGCTCCGTGGGACTGCGCTGTGGGGCACAGGGGGGTTATGGGGCACCCTGAGGAATGAATGCAGCCAAGGACACATGGCTGGCAGGGAAACCGTTACCATTACTGAGTTTAGTAATGGTAATGGTTCTGCTGACAGCCAGGCACGCAGCGTGGCATGGATTGGTGTGGGCTGGTGTGGGTCAGTGTGGGGTGGTGGTGTGGGTTCAATAAAATCAGAGATGGCACAGAGACGGTGGCTCCTTCCCTTGTGTGTGGGGGGATCAACGTTGGGGTGTGGGGGAGGTACGGACTGGGACAGTTAGTGGTGCTGTGAGGGGTGTGGGGCACTAAAGGGGCACTGGGGGGGATTGCATAGGAGTCAGTGGGGAGCCACTGGGGGGTGTGGGGGGCACTGGGATGGGCTGGGGAGCATTGTGGGGAACAGCGGGATGAATTGCAGAGGACATGGAGCACAGAGGGAGCACTTGGGTGGGCTGCGGGAGACACTGGGAGCACTGGGAGCAGTGTGTGCCCTGGGGGCACTGGTGGGACTATGCACACTGTGGGCACTGGGAAAGCTGGAAGAACCAGAAGCACTGGACAGGCTGGGAGCACTGAGGGCAATGAGAGCACTGAGGTGTACTGGGCACAGCGGGCACACTGGGATCACTGGGAGCACTGGGCACACTGGGAGCACTGGGAGCACTACGCTGCGCCGCCGCCCGCACTGATGGGCGCCACGCGGCGCGGCCAGCAGGGGGCGCTACATCCATCACTGCGTAGGGCGGCGCCCTAACCCCGTCTCCCTCCTCTCTATGCTCCCCCCGCCTTCTCCTCCAGTAGGAGCGGCCGCCGCTCGCGCTCCCGGCCTGCCCCGCGGCGGGACAACATGGCGGCGCCCATGACTGCGGCGGTGGCGCGGGGCCTACTCTGGGCCCTCAGGGCTGGTTCGGCCGGTCCGCCGTCACGGCGTGCAGGTGGGGCGGCTGGAGCTAGGCCGGGAACCTCGCTCCGGGGAGGCCGGGGTCTGGGGGACGTGAGGGCGGGCCGGGCCGAACCCAGAGGGTAGGGGACGGGCCGTGCGGTAGCTGCGAGGTGGGAGGACGGGGCCGTCTCGGTTTCGGGGCGGTTTTGCAGGTTTTACACCGTTTCAGCGATCCTCCTGGAGAGCTGCGCCCGCTGCAGCGGGAGCGGTTCGGCGCTGGGCCACATCCTTGGCCTCCCCGGCGAAAGGCCAACCCCGGCCCTGGGCCGGCACCCGCCGCCCGTGGCCACTAGCAGAGGTGAGCGCCGCCTGCGCCCCCCGGCCCCGCCGCGGGGTAAGGGCACCGTGTGAGCGCCTTCTCCCCCCGCAGAGAAGCAGGCCCGCATGGTGCGGGGCCGCCCTGACCAGCCCCCGGAGCCCAAAGTGCTGAGAATCGCCATCATCGGAGCGCCCAACGCCGGCAAGTCCACGCTTTCCAATCAGCTCTTGGGCAGAAAGGTAAAACTGCCACAAATCACCGAGTTAGGGCTGTTTGATCAGCTTTATTTTTTAACTGTAGTGGCTGTGAGATCCTTTTAATTTCTTAAAGGTTTTCCCGGTCTCGAAGAAAGTGCACACAACCCGATGCAAAGCACGCGGTGTCATCACGCATGAGGACACGCAGCTGGTGAGTTTCCAGGCTGCAGAAATGGTGTTGTGTCCCGGGGGCAGCAAAGTGCAGGATCCCCATCCCTGGAGGAGCCTGAGGCCGGGCTGCGTGGTGCCCTGGGCAGCCTGAGCTGCTGGGTGACAGCCAAGCCATGGCAGGGGTTGGAATCGGATCCTCTCTGAGGTCCCTTCCAACCCAACCATTCTATGTTTTTTTTCATTTCTATCTTATGGTGGTGTTTAATCATGCTGATGTAAGTTAGTGGCAGAGCTAAAACTGCACGTGGACTGAGGAAATGTGTGTTTCCTCTTTCTAGATCATTCTGGACACACCTGGTCTCACTTGTCCCACGAAAGCCAAAAGGTATCACTGCTGCTGTAGGGAGAGATGGGGTTCTATCACTAGAGGTTCGAGAGAACACAAAGTGATTTCTACTGTGCAAATTTGTAGAAGTGGCAGGAATGTAAATTTTTAACCTAATTTCGATCTCTTGACTTCTTAATTGTTTACATTTCAGTAACACCCAGAGCCTGGGGAATCCCTTGAGCCCTGTTGTGTTTGACTGTGTGTGTGTGTGCAGTGAAGGATGGTATAAACCTGTAAGGCAGCTCTGTGTGAGTTGAGATGATGGAAAGTGCTGTTCCTGCACCTGCAGGGGGAAGGAAGATTGTTGTGGTCCAGCACAAGCCTAGCATGCTCACTTGTATTTGCCTTTCAGGCATAAACTAGAGGCAGCCATGCTGACAGACCCGTGGGACAGCATGAAACATGCAGATCTAGGTGGGCACTCAACTTCCTTTGCATCAAACCCTTTATCTGCCACAGAAACTTATAACCCTACAGCTGTAGTACCTCTATATGCTACTGGGCACTAAAGGCAGACCTGGGAGTGTGAATAAGAAGCAGGGGTAGAAGGGCATAGAAAGAACTGAATTATTTGACCGGGGGGAGGGGTTTAGAATTGCCTGATGGCAAAGGGAGGCAGCTTGGGTGAACATTTGGCCTTGGATGTTGCATTTTAGCATGTGTGATATTTGTAGGACAGCAAGTGTAAACTGGGTTTGTTGTTTTATCGTTTGAAACACCATTTTTGGATTGCACGTGCACACTGCCCTGCAGAAGTGAGAGGAGGAAGAGCAGGAGGGAAGTGATTCAAACACAGGCTACGGAGAAGCTTAGAAAGAACCTTTGGGAAATGTAGGTTCATTATTTTCCCCTCGCTCTCTCCTGGCAGTTCTGGTTTTGGTGGACGTCTCAGACCACTGGACACGAAACTCTCTGAGCCTGGAGGTGCTGAAATGTCTTTCTCAGTTTCCTCAGATT